GAGTGTTTAACTCTCAAGCTCGCATAAATTCCACAGAGTACATTGTCAGGATTGTGCAAATATTTATAGCCAATATTTGGATAATAAAACGTGATTCCTGCATCAGAAAAGCTTCTTGATTTAAAGAAGTACTGGCAATCTCATTTTTATGTAGTTTTTTAAATTTTCAGCCCAGGCATGAAGCCAGACCCATGCCGTTAAAACAAGACAGTGTTAACACTCTGTCCTGGTACTCAGTCTGCTAAAAAAAACCCCAAAAAGCCTTCAGAAATCTTTGAAAGAATTTGATTTGTGCAGCAGCCAATTGCACTAATGGGAAATAATAATGTTAATGCATATGAGTGGCTTGCTGGAAGGGCATCGTTATGGAGATTTCTTGTTACAGTGCAGACCTGGCAGATAGGATCTTGTTTCCTTTTAATTGGCTTCTGCAGTCGCTTGGCTTTTTCAGGGAAAGGAGAAATGAGAAAAGAGAGATAGCAAGGCAAGCAGTAAAATTAAAAAAAAAAAAAAAGCCATTGAAGGGACGAGGGTTACAAACAAAAAAGGGAGGCATGAACAAGAAATCAGGGGAGACTATTTTGCAAGTGTATTTTTTGGGAAAAGAAACGCTGGGATTTGTAACTCTAGAAATGGAAATACTGTCTCCTCATCTTCTGTAGCTTTGTCACAAATAAAGCCAAAATGTTCAAAACCAGCTGCCCATGGGTGGGTTTGCCCCCAGACCAGTGGGAGTGGGAAGGACTGCTGACTTGCTTAAAGGACACAAGGGCCTGTCCCAGTCCCTTGAAACTCTTGGATGCCTCACCAGATTGTGTTAGGTCACTGGCACATGAACTATGACCTTAGGGATCTATACCTGAATATCTGCTTTTGAAAATGGTAGCCGTGGGTTTCTCACTGCCATGATAATTGTAATAATAATAATAATTACCCCCCTTGTAATCCATAATGTTTCCATAGTTCATCTTAGGAATGCACACTGCACATTCATTATTACAAAGGCTTTATGGGATGTATATCTACCACCTAATATTTCTGGACTTCAGTTTTAGCTGGATTTAGCAGTTCTGTCATGGAAAGCTATTTGTACCACTTCCCTGGAACAACTGTTTTCTTCCAGAGCTCTTGTGGGCCACAATCCAGATGCCTCCATCTGCTCTACAGCAGAGTCTGGCTTCCCTGGTTTACCAATATGTTTTTTACATGGGATTTGAATCCCACAGAAAATAAGGATTTTGGAGGATGCTTTGCCTGCGATTAAACAAACTCCATAGGGTGGTGTGCTATTGCTCCACTTGGCCTACAACAGTTCCTGCAGCAGGAACCTGATCGTTCCAGATCAGGGGGTTTATCCATGATCGGTAATGACATGGCTGGGGGGGAAGAAACATGCAATGGGTATCTACACAAACCGGTTCAGGATCAGCTGTGGATTTACACAGGGAAGAATAAAAGGGCAGTTGCTCCCAGTTCTGACCACATGCAGGGACCTGTCTGCTGCTCCCACCAAAAGCACTGCTGCTCCCATATAAACATTCCTTTCTCTCCCTGCAGATTATTAAAAAAGAAACTGGATTTTGGAGAGACTTTGGTTTTGGGATGACCTGCCAGTACAGATCTGATTTTATCAACATAGGTAAGAAAAATACACTCCGGTATGTCGTCTTTTTTACTGAAACATAGAAAATTGTCATCCGCTTCCCTTTCCTTGGCCAGCGTGTCCACGACTCTAATTCGCAGCGGTGCTGTGGTTAGACGTTCACGCTCTTCATAAGGGTTCCCAGAATCTAAGCGCTGCTCGGTACAAATAAAGCAACTTTGTGTGATAGTGAACGATTTGAAGCTAAGAAATTTGGATGCTGGTGTTGGCAGAAAGCGTGGCTGTCGTAAAGGAGCCTGGAGCCAGGGAAGCTGTAGTGCAATTAATAGCAGCGAGTGTGCTGGTATATATCTCCAGTATTATTGTGGATTTTGTTTGTGTTAGGTGGCTTTGATCTGGACATTAAAGGCTGGGGTGGTGAAGATGTACATCTGTACCGCAAATACCTTCACAGCAACCTCATCGTGGTCCGAACACCCGTCAGGGGGCTCTTCCATCTGTGGCATGAAAAGCAGTGCCTGGACGAGCTGACCCCGGAGCAGTACAGAATGTGCATGCAGTCCAAGGCCATGAACGAGGCTTCTCACGGCCAGCTTGGCATGCTGGTGTTCAAGCAGGAGATTGAGATGCACCTGCACAGACAGAAACTGAGCGGGAAGAAGACGTGAAGCCAGAAAGGGAGGCAAAACCCCTCTGAATTGGACTACGGGGTGTTTTGAAAAAGCCTTGCTAGCAAGAAAAGACAGGATGACACTGAAAGAGGATGGAGATTCCAGCAGAATGGCAGCAGCAGAAGATGAGAGAAACTGCTTGTCTTCCCTTCTTCTGGTTGTTTCTTTTTTTTTCCTAATAAGGGCTTTTAAGTACTCCATTAGCCTGACTGTTCAGGGAGGGAGACTTGGACACTTGATGAGGTTCAAGGTCACGGAGACAATGAACATTACATAAGTGCCCAATGTGTTATTCACAATCACAAATGGATGTGCTTTTCTGTTGAAATGTTTGTAAGCTGTGTACAGTTATTTAAAGGTTTGACCCTCTGGTGGGCCAGTAATAATGAGTTATTTTCTGACATACCTAAAAAGGGCTATTTTTGAAGAAGTACAGAGCTCCTGCTCTGAGGAGGACAGACTGTTGTTAACAATGGTTAAGCTGGAGGGACCAAAAATCTTTTTCCCTTAAGGAGTTGGGGCGGGGGGACAGCAGCAGTGCCGTAACGCAGTATTCCAAATCCATTCAGAGACAAGAGGCATCCCAGAAAGTGATTTCTAAAATTCAGAAGGAGAAAGCCCCACCAGTCAAGTGTGGTGTTTCGGAAACACCGGAGGGTAGTGTTTGTTCTCCTCTGAGGCCAGTGAACCAAAAGCAATGAGCCATGTCGGTATCACATGGCTCAGGTGGTGCATTTCTGCTTTAGAATACTGGAAGTATCTCAAAGATTTATTTTTACATGAAATTGGTTTTGCTTGGGAATTATTTTCTCACACTTCAGGTTTTCTACTTCTAGCCTTACTAGGAGGTAGTACAGCCTTCCAGCATTTGGAAAATGCTCTGCAGACCTTTGTTTTGTGTGGATGGGAACTGGGTCCAGATAAGTGAAGTCACTTTTCCTCACAACCTGGGTGCTGGACAGCAGGAGCTTTATCACGCTGAAGAAGAGGAAATACTTATCAACTTGCAGGATTGAGCAGGAGGCTTTAAACTCTGAATGTCAGATACCAAAACTGATGAATGTTTTCTGACTTTGTACCAAAGTATTCCTTCTAAACCAAATACAGAGTCTTGCCCAGGGCGTAGCAAGCTTTTTGTAATTAACAAAATAAATTTTTGTGATGGATGATGACCCTGCAAATTCTCCTCTGATAATTATAGGTGCATCCTAAAAATTAGTCTCCTTCTTCACAGATTTTTTTTTCAATTGCCTACAACTGTTGAAAGCATGAGTTCCTGCTCTTATAAAGCATTTTCTTTTAATACTGACTGCTGTTTATCATTTTAATATACCAGCCAACAAAACCCACATGAGTTTGGAAATCCCATTTGCTTACCTAAATGCTGTTTCTCTGAGCTGTGTCTTTGTTTTATAGCTTCCCATTAAATCAAGGCAGTCTGAAACCAGAGTCTAATTTGGTCTGGGGCTTGTAAAAGCTGGGGGAAGAACTATGCAAGATAGCACTGAACAATGAATTAAACGCGGTTTGTCGTGCCACGCTGTGGTAGGAGCAGCGCTTATGGACCTCTTTTGGAAGCATTGCATGCAGCACCTGCAGACAGGGACCATGCCACAGTAAGTACTTTTCCTTTACGTATGTTTACGTGTGTTTGTCTTCTGTTGGATGCAAATGATCTGCACTGCACTGCTCTTGCAAATCATCAAGTGTCCAAACTACTGCAAAAGTATAAAAATAATAGACTCTGTATGTTTAAAAAACCCAACCCCCAAATACATCACTTACCATAAAAACTTAAGCAGTAACTCAAGTAAGTCCTCCAAAGAATCATGGAATGGTTTAGGCTGGAAGGGACCTTAACGATCATCCAGTTCCAACCCCCCTGCCATGGGCAGGGACACCTTCCACTAGACCAGGTTGCTCCAAGCCTCATCCAGCCTGGCCTTGGACACTTCCGGGGATGGGGCATCCGCAGCTTCTCTGGGCAACCTGTGCCAGTGCTCCCCACCCTCTGCAGTAAGAATTTCTTCCTGATATCCAATCTCATTCTCCTTCTTTTCAGTTTAAACCCTTTGCCCTGTCACTCCCTGCCCTTGGAAAAAGTCATCCTTGCTCTGCAGACTTTCAGGGTAACCAGAATTCAGAGCAATAGAGGAGCCGCTCTTGAAGGCATCGGCTCTGGCAAGGGTGCAGTCAGTGCAGTAATCTGCATGTGTAGGTATTCAGGTTTCTCCCCTCACAGCAGACAAGTGAAGCTGAGAGTCTTTAAAAAACTGAGGCATGATTCTCAAATGTGTGGGTAGGTGTGGGCACTGACAGTGGCTTTCCCTTAGCTTTTCCTACCAAGCCAACATTTGCAGATGAGTGGTTGTAATGGAGAGATATGTGAAGCTACCGGTCAGCAGGTCAAACGCTGAGTAGCCCTGATCCAACAGAAAGAAAGGAACAAGTAAACAACTGAAACAAGGTTGATTCTCGTTCACTATTTGAGGATCTCATCTCTTGAAAAATCAGCAGATCCACACCACAACCATCAGCTGTAGAGTCTGTCACATGCACCAACATGGGGGAATCTGGGTGAGGATTCCTTTGCTATGTGATTCTGCCCAGCCTCTTCCCTGAAATTCGGAATGATGTATTTAAAGAACAGCGTAACAGACACAAAGAGAGAACGTCACATTGAAAGAACAAGCTCAGTGTTAAAGTTTACACCGGATGCATCTCAGTAATCTGGACACAACTTGCAATAAATAGCTCCATTTTGGAAAATAGCATTCTTCACCAGCAAACACTTTTCTGTAAACTGTGTTAATACTGATACAGGTGCTGCTTCTTACATGTTTTAGGCTCTGTGCATGTGGTAGTCTTTCATACAAATTCCTCTATCCCTTCTCCTTTCCCTTTCAAAAGGTTAATCCCTCTCCATGCAGAAAGGCCAGCGTGGGATTTAAATACAGGTTAAAAGGGTGAAGATTTATATTAAGAGGCTAAAGGAGTTTTAAAAATGCACTTTTCATGAAAATCCCTCTTCAGAGAGAACACCGTTGACTGAAAGGCACCGATGGTTTGATTGGATGTTTGGCTTGAACATCCTTGATTCCAAGGGCACAGCATTTTACAGGATTAAGCTTCACATTATGCAAATGACTGCATCAAGACCGATTCACCTCTCCAAGTTGGCCTGTGCCTTCAGGAAGGTATGATCTCATTCTGTACATACTCATCTCTTTCCCAGACAGCACACAGCCTCGCGTCCGAGAACAACAGGCAGCTCCAATGCAGAAGTCCCCCAAGAAATGTGCAACAACCCCCTGAAAACACGCGGCAGTGTCTCCCTGTTCAACTGATGGCTTCATCGCCTCCGTCGCTCCCTCGGGCAGGATACATCCGGGTGCTCTGCAGCTTGCTGGGCTGGGGCATCCTTTCGCTCGGCGGATGCGGCAAGCCCACAGCAGTATTTATCCTCCCGCTGCTCTGTGCTGAAGGGTATGAAGCGGAGGCACTTGGGGCAGCCGTTTCAGGTCAGTGTCCGCAGCTCTAGTGCGAAGGTCGGTCTTGGTGATACAAGCGTGGGGCTGCACAACGAGGCCGGGAGGTTCACTCAAAGAGGGAGATGTAATCTGGGTCTCGGTCCTCTTGGCCACACGGGTAAAGCAACAGCTCCTTCCCCAAGGAAGTGATGGGTTCATCCTGTTGGTGAAGGAGATGGTTAAACACCACCGTTCAAGCAGACCCTGCCTATCACAACATCACAGGATGAACAGCGGTGTCCCTGCCCCTGTCCCACTGTGGAGGTGTTCATTGCCCTGTGTGACAGCGCGGTGCCTCAGGGAACACGGCGGAGGACCCCCATGGCTCTCCCTAAACCAGCGTCTGTGCTCGGTGCAGTGACGCGGTGACACGACACTGGCAGTTCTCCGAGAGGGCTGTGCTCTCTTCCAGGGCCTGAACCACTGCCCTGCCCAGGAAGTGCTGGAGCCAGGACTGTGCGGGATGCAGGTGAGCAGGACCATGGTTGTGGACCATGTTCCTGGCTGCATTTGTGGGAGGGACACGGGTGGATCCTGGAGTGGATCTCTCTGCTCGGGCATGCCCTCTTCTAACAAGGGAATTCCCTGCTTCCCATCTCCTTCTCCACCCTAGCAGCAGATGCGTGGTGGGAACTTGCCTGCCTTGACATCACCTGATGGGTGAGGAGCAGAACCCACCAGAGCCCTCCAGCCGGGTGGGTTCACGCTGCCCACGGCTGCTGCAGTGCGAGGTGTCCGTAGGATTCTTTGCAGACTGTGGGCATGGCTCTGTCTTTAACACAGATAAGCACAGCCAAGCTTTAAATCCTCTGGCTCTGGCACCAAGAGCCCTCCAGCTCCTGCTCTCAACATCAGCCTCAAGTGTGAAATCCAAGAAGCAGGTTCAGGTGGCTGAGGTAGAGCTCCATATAGCCAATGAACATAGATATTTTCCTCACGTCCAGTTTTGTTTAGCCATGTCTCTATCAGGCTAGGCACTTCTGTCACAGAAACACGGATTTTAGGATTTTAGGCAAAATGATTGTCCTGGCCCTGGGCATATCTTGAGTAAAGGAATGAACAATCCAGCTGGCTTTCCTCGGAGCCCACGTAACTGCAGTTGGTGCTGTTATTGTTGCAAGAACCTGCCAACCTTTCCCTTCCCTTCTATTTTTCATCTTTGCTCGGTGTCACTCCTTGACTGCTTTGCAATTGTAAGGATACCTTATTCTCTTTCAGGTTGAAGCTGGAAGTGAGCACGATTTTCTGCTTTTCCAACTTGCACGGAACCCACAACCACGGAAAAAATCAAAAAGCCAGGAGTCTGCGTGAGTATGCTGTCACCTCTCACCTTATCAGCATTCCTACTCGTGTGTAACTCGAGTGCTGTGCGTAAGGTGTTCTGCACGCTCAGGGGGGGGAGGAATCAGGTCTAAAATGTTTGAGATGCGTTAGGTCGCCTGAGACGTACCCATCAGGCTGGCATACCCTTCTGGAGCAGCACACAGCAGCTAAAACGGGTCTAGTTACCTGCTTTGAAACAACAGAATCTATTCTTTCTTATTTTGAATTCCTCTCAGGCAATTAAAAAGTTAATGAATGTATCGCTAGATGTTCACCTTGTGGTAGTCTACAAGGTCAGCCAGCGTTGAATGTTGTAGCTGGTCCACTCCAAGGAAGCTGTAGGAATCACTGGAGGCATCAATGAGGAAGTGTTTACATCCTTCCACAGCCCGATAGGAGAGCACGTAGCCTTTGATTTTCTCACTGACCCGGACCAGAAAACTCCCCGGTACCATTTTATTCAGCAGCTCCTCTGCTTTCTTAGAGGTTAGGATACCTGTTCAAAACCAAATCACAACGCTGAAGGGAGAAAAGCATTTGTGCAGGACTGGGTGGAGCAGTTCTTACAAGAAATACACTTTACCACTCTAAAACTGGCCCGTGGCACTTCCATCCCTTGCATTTTTTTCTTGCGCAGTAGCCCAGGAAGGCCAGTACTGCCACTGCTAGTAACAGACCGTGGCCCTGTGCTCTGTGGGGCATGTTAACTGTTCCACACCCGCCTGATTGCGAGTGATAAACGTGCAGGGCTCAAAAGGACAGTTTCTGTGTTCTGAGGGAGAACGGCACGGCAGTGTGTTGCACGTTGGTCCCAGTACAGCAGGGCTGTGCAGACAGGGGTCACAGGTCCTGTCAGAAAGCCATGCAGGCGTTGAAACCCAGTTACAAGAGGGTATCGTTTTCGTTGCTGTAGATTGAAGGGGTTTCCAAAGGAAGGGAGATGGATGGGATCATGATGACCCAATAAATGGGATGGGAAGAGGATGGATGATGAGCATGTATGGTGGGATAATGGCCTGGGGCCAAGGATGAGATGGACCCAAGTGTCACCCTGGTCCAACAGCTACCAGGGTGACCATGCATCCAGAGAGGCAGGGATGGTACAGGGTGATCTCTGTTCTAACACATGAGCTTGCCCTTTGCCATAATGGCAAAGGAATTTAAACTGCACTCAGAATGGAAAACCTAGCCACCTTCAAAAAGCTCCTGGGCCCAGCCTGTGGCAGCAGCCACTGTAGCAGAAACAACTCCTCCAAGAGTTGGGTTGGGACGGAAACACTCAGGACTCACCGTGGAACCAAGGCGCTATTGTGTCCGTCGTTTTCTGATAGCCGGCTCGGAGAGGGAATTGCTCCTCTTTGAACCACTTGATGATGCTTTCTTCGGTGGCATTGGAGATTGTCCTCTGGATTCCCGCCTTCCTGTTAGAAAACACCGTGGTTTGTGCATCAAGTTCGAACAATAGTTTTTGAGTCTTTGGCAGGACTTACTTTTGTTCGGGATGCAAAGAACATCCTTAAACAGACGTCTTACACTAGTGGAGCTGTCAGCAATGTCATTTGGGTTTCAGTGGGCACCTAGCACAGAGGATGTATGCCCTCTAGGCTTTGGATGCTCTACTAAATAAACCTGCTCCCTTCCAGGGGGAAACAAAGAAGCCTCATCACCCCCTAGGCTGGAATGCAGCCTAGGCTCTGTATTTTTCCCTGCAGGGAGTCTCCTCCACACGAGGAGGAGAGCTAACCATTCCCATCTCAACCATCCCATGCTGGAGCAAAAGAATCTCATCCCTTCTCCCCTCCACAGTGCACAGGGATTTCCTTACCTAACTGCTCTCCCGTTTGCCGTCGCAGGAGGTAGAAGTTTGGGCTTGGGGGGGAGAGGCGGATACTGGAGCGGTCGCCGGTCACCTGCTGAGGCACCCTTGGAAATATCTGCCTGCTTCCCTCTGTGGATGCCCTGCAGTGAAAGCCTCCGGTAGTCGTCCCTGGCTTGCCGTGCAAGGGAGCGTCTCTTCTCATCTGCTGCCTTGGATTTCCGCACTGGAACGAAAAAGGAGTCCTACAGGAGCGAACAAGCAGGCAAGTTTTAAGCTTGCTACCCCTTGGCCATCTTCCTGCTTGATGAAGTGGAAGAATAATCCGTTTCACAAGGTGAAAGATGCACTCAACTGTGAGACCATTTGCCACCTGTCTCCCATCACTTTTGGGCATCTGCTACTTAACAGAGTCCAGTTTTTATTCCTACAAGATATTAAAAATCTGGGTTCTTTCTGGGCACCAGATCCCTTTATACTTAGCGACTGCTTGGTTTTGGGTTGGATGCTGACTCCTGGTTCAGACATAGGTTTCTGTTGTGCCTTTCATGTGAGCCAGCGGCGGGGGGGAGGGTATATGGAATAAGAGCTGCTGAAATGACCCCAAATCAATCCTTTGAAGGATTTGAAAGTGCTGACACCTATCACAGAGGATGTATGCTCTCTGGGCTTAGGATGCTCTACTAAATAAACCTGTTGCACTCCAGGGGTGAACAAGGAAGCCTCATCAGTCCCTAGGCTGGAATATAGCCTAGGCTCTGTATTTTTCCCTGCAAGGAGTCTCCTCCACACGAGGACGAGAGCTAACCATTCCCATCTCAACTATCCCATGCTAGAGGAAAAGCAGCTCATCCCTTCTCCCCTCCACCTTGCACAGGGATTTCCTTACCTAACGGCTCTCCCGCTTGGCATTCACAGGAGGTAGAAGTTTAGGCTTGGGGAGGAGAGGTGAATATTGGAGGGGGGGAGGGAGTGTTGCTGAAACTGTTACGGGAAGTGGAGAACTTGGCTGGCGTTGGGGTTGTTTTGTTTACTATAAAACTGCCTTGATCGCCTAGGTTCAGCTCATCCTGGAGTGTGTAGGAGCAACCAGCTCTCCAGTCAGCCTGAGTTAGGCTAGTTCTTTCCTGGCTTTTGTAATCAACTTCCCATTGTCTTTTTATCAGTAAGAAAAATAAAACCCCTGGCCTGAAGTGGAAACAGTACAGCATTGCCATCTACTGAGAGGCAGTGGAGGAACTAGGAAAAAAATGCATCCTGTTCTCCAAGTACTTGGCAGCAGGGATGGATGCTACTTCAAGTGTCTTATGTTTGCTGTTTTCCTTTCCGTCGTTGGGATTCATCACATGAGACAGTGCAGCAGGGCTCTGCTTAGGTGGGATTGTGCTTGGATGACTGGGAAGCCCTTTTTAGTTATTCTCTGTCATCCATTATCCTTGTTCTCAAGAGCCATGGTTACTGAAAAGTCCTACAGAAGGCCAGCTTCTAGTTTTAAATTAATGACCCTGGCTATACTCATGTGGTTCCTATTTATTGCTTGTTTTAACATAGTATCTGTAGGAAAAATTTTCCATTTCCCTGCCCAACTCTAGTCTCGTTGGACTCAGAAATATTTCTGATAAAGCAGCGCTGTATTTCTTGGCAGTACTCTCCACCTGATTATTCAGTTCCAGTGTGGCAGGAGAAGGATTGAGATGATCCCACAGAGCCCTAGGATTTCTCAAGCCCCATAGGAAAAGGTCATCCTAAGATCTTACAGGATTCCTGCCATTCAGGCTCATGCTCATCCGATTTCTGCAGCGTCCTCTGGCTCTCCGAGCTGGGGTGACTCCGTGATGTTACCTCCTGGGGGGCTGTGGTTGTTCCTTCTGAATTTCTCCTCTGTGCTTCCTTCATCTATGAAAGAATCAGAATGTTCAGCTTTGTCCCAGGCTGGTTTTAACCCTGCTTTTTAGCTAGCCTTGAAATACTGGGAACCACCCCATTATTTATTGTGGATCCCTCTGATTTCAACAACATACAGACCTCTGCCTTTATTATAGGTGACAACAGAGGAGGTAAAGGAAAACGCTCTGCAGGAAATCACAAGGGGCATCTCGCTGTGCTGCTCCCCATTCTGCCATCCTGGCCTGCTTTGTGTCATCTCCAAATCATCCCACCATACATGAGGAGCATGGCAACGCTGGATAAAACTGGTCCAAGGGGTGAGGATGTTCTTGGGTCACATGAGGCTCTGAGGGTGACTGGGACTCGGATAAAGCCTGGGCCCCGCTCAATATGTTAGGAGCATCCTAGGTTGCCACTTACCTGTTGGAAGCTGTGCTGCCTCATGTGGCAGTCTGCCAGCATCTGGTAAACATCTCTGGGTTCCCTCTGGGCAGTGGAAGAGAGCGGTGAGAAACAAAGGTGGCGTTAGGACCATCGCTGTTTTTCGAAGCAATAGGTGTTTCATAGAATCCCAGAACGGTTTGGGTTGGAAGGGACCTTAAAGCCCATCTAGTTGCAACCCCCCTGCCATGGGCAGGGACACCTTCCACTAGACCAGGTTGCTCCAAGCCTCATCCAGCCTGGCCTTGGACACTTCCAGGGATGGGGCATCCACAGCTTCTCTGGCCAACCTGTCCCAGTGCTCCCCATCCTCTGCGGGAAGCATTTCTTTCAGTGCAGCAGCAGTGATGTGACATTTATGTTAACAAATTTTGCCAGCCTCCTCTGACAAACACCGGGGGGTTTAATCATATTAGGCTTAACATGCCACATGAGGAGAACTCTAGGGGCATCAGGATTATCATAAGCACACCTAAATTTGCCAAGCAATGCTCCCAAGTGCTTCCAGGGAGCAGCCCCTCACCCCCTCCCTCTAAAACAAGCCCCAGCAGAACCTTCCATACGCAGCTTCACCTGCCTGTGCTTGTTTGCTGCTGCGGCTGGGTGTGCAAACCCCTGCTCCACAAGCTGACCCAACTAGCTGCAGATCTCCTCTCTGCTCCTCCCTGCAAACCCGTCCAGCTACCCTGGCAGCAGCTGCTAGCTCAGACCTGTCTTCGGAGAGGAGCAGTTAGCCTTGTCTTGGAGCAAACACCCCCCCCCAGTTGTACCCAGGCTGCCTCCCACCACGTGGTGAGTAATGAGTTAACTACCGCGCTGCTCACCAAGGACATGCTTTGTTTTATCTCCATCACCTACTTGGCTAATAATTAATATGAACACGCTTTCTGTTTTCCCTCTCCTTAACAGGAAACTAGGAACTTCAAATGCGGGTGAAGCAACTTGTTTTCTTAGATCAGCCACCCCCCTTGGCCCCAGCGGTGGACAAAACACAATGCCCAGATCCCTTGGGTTAAATGGGAACTAGATCTTGGAGAAAGCACTTTAATGAGGGAGGTGAGAAAAAGTCTCTCTCCAGGCCTAGAAAATGCAACAGGGATCTTGGGTCTGGATCCCTCCTTCTAATGGCAAAAGCTCCAGAAACGTGGGAAAAATTACTCATAATGTAAGGACAGAAAACAAAAGTAAAATATTCGCCACCATCTCTATTTCCATGTGCAAGACTTTGAAAGAGGTTTTTTGGTGGTGGTGGGATTTTTGGTTTGGGGTCTTTT